TTAAAAAATATTTTTTTTTACAAAAGCCTCCGCAATTTTTTGCCCGGCAGTTGCACTTGGAACCACTCGGCCAGCGAGGCAGTCGAGGCGGTAGTCGTAATCAAAAACATAATAATTGTAAGAGCAATACTGAAACAGTATTTTAGTGAAAAATAATCAAGTAATTACATTTTACGCACTTATCTACTATAACTATTACTCTTAACAAAACATATTAATATATTCACATGAATATGTTCATGTTTTTAATATTAATATGTAGAGAAATCTTTTTCATTTACATAAAAATAACAAAATTACTATTTGATTCCATAACTCTTGGAATATAGAAATTAATATTGGCAGGTCTGATTGTATTATTATATTTCAAATTTAATTTAAAATTTTATTTATTGTAGAAACATAATTCGTAATTATTTCAAAGAATTTGTTATATTGTTTTTGTAGAATCAATTACGTTTATACATTAATCTATAATAATTTTAGTAGATTGAATTTCGTTTGGTTTTCGAAATAATAGTGTAATCTAGACGTTGACAATATTCGTTTTTCAATCATTTTTATTTTATTGTAAAAAATGTGAACCTGAACTGAACATTGTTCCAATCATATTTCATTACAACTGAAAATTTCGAATTCAATTATTGTTTTCGTGCTTACTTCGTTTTCTTTTAGGGAATAGGAGGCAAACGAGCAAACGGTATCAAAATCGCCTAATGGTAAGCAATCAGCGCCGTCCACGTACATCCGCAACACAAGAGGAGTCACAGGTGCATTACTACGTACCGCTAAAGAAATCAATACTATACAAAATGAGTCTCTAAAAACTATAGGAGTTTTTAGAGACTCATTTTGTAAAATAAAAGTAAAATCAAAATATAAATATTACATTAAAGGGAATGAAATGTATGATAAAGCATATCACGTTCATTTCTATATTTGGACGTCTCCTTATGAATAGGGAGCACGTAGCCGGCCTTAGGAGCGCAACAGGCTGATTAAGCGCCGCTTATGTTGTAACAACGGGGAAGAGAATTATTTTTACTTACTGAAGGATATGTTGCGATGCAACTTTTTAATAATATACTATATTATTAGTTGAAAAGAAAAATAAATGTCTACTAACTATGACTGTTGCTATGCAGGCTAAAAGGTTTGATTCAAATATAATTTAATGACTACTCAAAAAACCCTATGTCTTATTGAGTAGTATATTCACAATCTTGCATTAGGTTAGGTTGGAAACATAAAATTATTCAATATCTATGGAAATCACCCTTTTTCCATTATAAAAATGTTTAGCCAAAACATCAAAACATATTTTTTAAGTATATAACTCATAATATATGATATTTTAGTTAAATAGCAACCCACATTCACCCGCAGGCTAAGATACATAATTAAAATAATTCAAGGCGTAGCAATGTGCTACGATAACGTAGCCGGCGTAGCGGATAAAATGCTCGCTACGTCATTTCGTAGCACTCAAGCAGTTTTTAAATTAAAATCATAATACGTACTTTACAACGCATGCGTTACAAGATTAACATCATACTAAAGTAAATATATTACTGTATTTTAGTGATGTATTATATGAAATCATTGTAAAACTGTTATCACTAAGAATTAGATGCTAAAATCTTGAAAGGTCCATGTTTTTTAATCTCATACAGCTAGGTAAAAAGGGGTCAATGATTTAATAATACAAGATTAATTTCAATAAAACATAATTGCCTAACCACTAAAAACAGAAGTCCACTGTAATTTGAACCCTAAATCGTTTGGGAAAAGACGTCTTACACGGTATACAGTGAATTATATAGGTAACATGTAACAAAGCGTCTCGTATTCACCCAAAGGCGAGAGCTAGGGGACAGACTGATTATGTCATCACACGTACCAAATGAGAATCTGACTTGTGTCGGGGAGTACAATAAGGAGATTAGTAGGTTTATGGTACGGGGCAGGAAATACAGGATCTTTGTCTTAGGAAAAATACATTTTGTGTTTATGTAGACTGGTAGGGAACATATTTTTCGGTTCATTTTAAATAATTCGTTTACGCATCTCGTCAATGAATGAGGGATCGTTTTTACTGAACAAAAGAGAGACCTTAGGAAATACTGAAAAATTTGGAAAAACTTATTTTAATTAAGAATGACAGTGACTAAAATTTTTATGTTTGTTTAGCATTGCTCTTATAGGGTATGCGTTATACAACGTACAAAATTAAATAACCTATAAATAAATATTTGTTCACACGACTTCTACAGGAAGACTTTCAGGATTAGAAGCGTATTATCATTTATTCTCTTCTCGAATGGACCAACAAGGACTCGAATGGATCAAGTGTGGGAGAGCCACGCTTCGGCACGAATGAACCAGCTCAACCGCAGTGATACCACGGCCTCACAGAAAACCGACGTGCAACAACGCTTGTGTTGTGTTTCGTCGTGTGAATGAGGTTACTGGAGGCCCAATTACCTCCTTGATCGCCAATCTCCCCAATCCCTGAATCCCCAATAGTCCTCAAGCTCCTAATCCCCAAAACCCTTCTGGCATCAGGTATCCATGGGCAACGCCGATTGCTTACCATCAGGTAATCCGTTTTCTTGTTTACCGGCTGATCACATAAAAAAGCAGTGTATCTAATACCACCAGCATTCCGAAGAAATTATTCAAGCATCTTATAATCTCTTAATCAATGAACACTTGATCGAAACCCTATAATAAAAAAGTACACATTGATGGATCGGACCAACTCAATTATGAAAACTCAAAACCCATCGATCACGAGGAACAAAATCGCTGACAATTTTCAAATCCCGTATGCGTAATACGATTACGGGAAAAACGGATAAACCGTTGGCGGTAAAACGGAAAAGGAAAATGGGAGAACGGAAAAACGTCTTGTTTGTCTCCCGTCTTTTTACGTAATTGCTCAGTGAAGGCGGACGAAATTGTGTGTCAAAGTGACGGTTTTTATACCATTCTAGTTAAGGTGGGTGGTTACGTAGCTTTCATTTAAAAAAAACAACTAGTAGTTTTGACGAAAATCCACATGACCTTTCTAAAAAAATAAGAACTACACTTTTCACTAATGATCTCTTCTCTTTCTCTCTTTAAGAGAACAATGCCCCACTCTCACTTTCTCCTGTATCGTGGCTGCGTTTACAAACATACAATTTCACATCACACATATCACCCGAATGATTTAACGAGTTGCTGGGGCTACAGGATTGATGATTTTTAGTCAGTAAGAGTCTGATACTCCCTCTCGCCTCACCCCGGCGGGAGAAGTCATTTCATGATTTTCCCCCCTCAAAAAAAGATCCGGTATAACAATTTGTGGATCACACAAAGAGTTGCTCTGTGCGGAAATCGAACCCACTACACAGTGCGCGGCAGCCAGTTGCCCAGTCACCGCGCCAAACGTGCAATCCACGGTGATTATTGTTGATATTTAAATCTCATATTTCGAGTTTTGGTGATGGATAGATATTGGAATGCTTTTATTAGAACATAATTGCTAACATAACATGATATAAAAACCCACTTAACACGTTAAACGCCAAGGGGTCACCAGTAACAGACGTTAGTGGAGGATATACTTTCAATAGTTTTCTATTGGCAGCCAAAGGTTTAATTCTAACGGGTTACCGGGGCGCAGGCTCGAAGTGCAGGAGTAGAAACGGGGTGGTTTTTAGTCAGTAAGAGTCTGACACTCCCTTTCGCCCTGACCCGGGCGGGAGAAGTCATTGGATGATATTCCCACATCAAAAAAAAAAACCAAAGTGTTAATATTTCAAAAAAAAAAAAATTATTAAAATTCGCCTCTCTACAATTGTACGTTACTTAATCTTCAACACACGACATAGCACAGAACAACATAAAATAAAATATCACTGCGTGTAAATCTCCTGTGATTGAGTAATGCATTTAACCAACTTTCGTAATCCAGTTAAGAGGATCTTTACCCGGGGGGCTCGTAATTTACTTTCGTATTCACAATAGAGTTCTTGACAAGGGAAAAACATTAAGTTTTGTAAGAACATGATGTTTATTAAGTAAGAGAACTGTTGTTGAGTAATTGGTATAAATTAATGTTCATTGCTATTGATGGGAAATTGTGACATGGATAGAAATAGACTGCCCCTTGGCTGAGTGGTCGCAAGTGTGACTACCGGGCAAGGGGTCACGGGTTCGATTCCCGGGTCGGGCAAAGTATTATGAGTATTTATAAAAATAATCTCAGTAGTAGCACGGAGTCTGGAATTGTGCCCGGTATATGGCAATACGCTCACCCCCTATTACGTGGGACTCTTAATATAAGTAGTGAAAAGTGGGTGTTACATTGTACAGTGGCATTGCGTGCCGTACTTACCCCTTTTTTTATGGGGGAAAATCATCGATAGACTTCTCCCACCTGGGTGAGGCGGAAGGGAGTGTCAGATTCTTAGTGACTAAAATCCACCCCGTTCCTTCTCCTGCACGTCGAGCCGGAGCCGCGATAGCCCGTTAGGTTCTCCGCGACTCCGAATCGGCATCAGGCCTATTGGACCCCATCCGTGGTGGTCTGATAGCGCTTTGAGGCGCGTGAGGAGGCAGTGCTTCGCTTCGCTTATGTGAGTTATGTGTGAAATGGACAATAATTAAATTCAGAACTTTGTGGACTGCAGCCAGTGGTCTGTGCCTATTGAGTTCAAGTCAATATTACGGTTAAATAAAAATATTACTCCAAAGCAATACTAACCTCCGTTGTTGTAGCTTGTCAACAGAATCATCTAACCAACTATTAATAATGTTGTATGTTATACAATCAAACTAAACTATTGATAAGTCACCTGATAATGATGGTAAACTTAGGCTTAGAGTCTAAACCTAAGACTAACCTTTAAACTATTTCTATTTTCTTATTAAGACGAACTCATTTTTTAGAAGAAAACGAAGCTCCATGTTTATAATAATTTCAATAATTCTAATTGACATAATTCACTCACCAGGGTATAGAGGGCACTAGCGTAGGCAGCGTGTTTGACGTGCAGCGTCCGACAGCATGACAGCGATGTGTCCTGCTCATGTGCACTCCACGCTTTCATCTGTCAAGAGCAAATATGATTTGATCTATATTTAAATTTAGACAAACTATATTTAAGTATCTAACTATACTTGTTTATAATTAGATATGACTTCGATCATGAAATCAATTAAATTGTATTTTATTTATCAATATTGTTACTTTTTTTTAGTTTGTTTGTTATTAATTTTTTTATCCTATTTGTATAACACACTGTGTCTCGGTGTCGTTATTTCTTTTCGTGGAACAGGCCCACAGGAAGAAATTCCAGTTTTTTTATACCAAACGCAATTTGGACGCATGGACAACTCAAAACACGAAGGCGTTACAAGTGCGTTACCGGCCTGTTGGGTATTGGGAATTTGAGGATTGTGGAGAATTCGGAGATTCGGGAGACTAGGGAGAGGGGGTAATTGGGCCTCCGGTAACCTCACTCGCACGACGAAACACAACGCAATCGTTGTTTCACGTTGGTTTTCTGTGAGCTCGTGCTATCACTCCAGTCGAGCCGGCCTATTCGTGCCGAAGCATGGCTCTCCCACATTTAAGTTGGAATATGTAGGACCTATGTACCTCGTTTTTATATATATGTTGTCCTTTGTGTTGTATGTGTGTACATAAATAATAAATAAATAAAGTTTGGAATAGCTTAGTCGTTGCTATAAATTAACAATGAAATTCATGTCTATGGATGGCTATGGCTTAATAATGTATACATCATACAAACACATTGACAATGCACAATACATTGAACTATGGATTATATAAAAAGGGTTAGTTATATCTCCACAATTGCCAGGGGGCTTGTAGGTCGCAGCTTAAAGGGCTCAGCTTTGTCAGACAAACCCTGTTGCCTGGTCTCTGTCAATCGCAGTTCCTTAATTGGTCCTTAAGAACACACGAGAAGAATGAGTACAATGAGTAATATAATTTATGACTCAACGAAAAAGAAATACGAAAAAATAAAGAGTCCTATAAAAATGACGATCATTCTTCACCTGACAGGGACGATACAATGATCACAAAGGAAACTCGACCCGGAAATCGTAGAATTATTTGACAGTGTAACAATGTCAATCAAACTGGGAACATAATACGAACGGCAAACAAGAAAAGACAGAATGTCGATAGAAATCAATTTCGTTCAGTAGCCTTCAGATTGTAGTATTTTATTTGTCATCTAAAAAGTCCTTGGGAGCTTGGTACGGTTCAGTAAAAAGGAAACAAAGAAAGTAAAAATTTTTTGTGAGAATTGTTTCAATTTTATTTCTATGATTTTGTGTTGGTTACGTGTGACTAAGATGATGGTTCAATTAAGCAGTCTAAGCGTTTGTATAATATAGTGAAACAATTGAGCAAATTAATAGTTTACTGTTGTCTTCATTATCATATCAGCCACAAGACTTCCACTGCTGAACATAAACCTCCATTGTCTTCCATTTACGTATGTATTTCAGTGTGGGAAAACCATGCTTTAGAAAAAAATCAAAGTTTCGTCGTGTAAGTGAGGTTACCGGCCGCCCAATACCCCCTCCCCAACCCCTAAATCCTCAACAATCCTTATTCCTAATCTCCAAAAGACCGGTAACGCACTTGTTACGCCCCTGGTGTTCCGGGTGTCCATGGGCGACGCCAATTGCTTACCATCAGGTGATCCGTCAGTTCGTCAACTGGTTTATCCCATAAAAAATGAACCTATTGTTCATTTTCTTTAATTCGCTCACTGATAATGTATACCTATGTATACCTATGTATACTTAAACAAATCAACTTGTAAAGTAGCAAGTATCGTGGGACATACTAAATCAACTAAAAATCGCGGGTTACTGACGTGAATATACTGGAAAAGCTCTACTAGTTTCGAGCCACAGAGGGGTTCTTCCTCATGTACAGCGTGTGCGGTCGCGGCGATGCCGCGCAGCCTACTAGCTAGCGTTGGCGCTCGCATCGGTGTTGCTACTCATGAGGAAGAACCCCTCTGTGGTTCGTTACTACTACTACCTAGTTTAAAAAAGCTCTACAGCTTTTCTCAATATATTTACGTGAGTAACCCGCGATTTTTAGCTAATTTGTAAAGTAGCGTAGGTATAAATTTTGCTAAAATACTTATTAAGTTCAATAATGACACTAACTTTTGTAAAACCCAAAAATACATAGCTCCTAAGTCATAGAAATTTATCATATCCACGTCAAACCCCGAACTGAACTAAACGAAATTTCTCTCATACTTGACCTCTCTATAAATCTATTGAGCCTAAAACTACATAAGTTTTTCTTCCCAAAATATTTGTTTTGATTCGAAGTGGATTACCTGTGGAGAGCCCACAACTTTTATTTCGCAACAAAAGTTAAGAATACTTATTTTATCTATTTCCCATAAATATTCTGAGTTAGGTGAAGGTCCGATAGTTTGAGGACAATTGAAACCGAATAAACTGGTTGTGAAGTGAATTCCTGGACAGGATTAAATATTGTTGATCTTTCTGTTGTTGAGATTATTAATTATACGAAATATGATGTCTTAGATTTCATGAAAACTTAGCTCTAAATAACTTTTAATTATTTCAGTCACACAATTATCGATAGTCAAAGTTTGAATACATCGTAAAATATCAAGATACATCCTTATTCATAAGGTTGCACGCCAAACTTCTCTACACTAACTATAACTGCAGAAAATAAAACAAAGACTGAGGCACAGTTCACTAAGCACATCAGTTGTGTCCTCCTATCACCCGGCGACCGGCGCAGGTAGCTAGTTAGCGAATGAGCATAAATCCGCTTTTTCACAGAACTCCTTTTTTACTCGTTTGATACAGTTTCTGCTGAAAGCCAAAGGCTTTGCATGAGTTTGATAACAATGCGACTTTCAGCACTTTCACGTTTTGAGTTCGAGCCTTTGACGCTTTCATATGTAAAATTTAAGCTTTATTCCGGTATGGTACAGTTTGGCACACAAGTGTGGATAGTGGGTTAGTGTTATTGATATGCTGAAGGTCGTAAGCCGCCTTCGGTGAATCGGTGATCAATCATACATAGTTTGTGAAGAAGTATTTGAAAATATTGTGAGGTTTTTTTGTGATAGTAAATTTATTTTGTTATATTTCTTTCTTTATGAATTTTAGTGCTAAGCTTTGTTGGTCGAGTGGTCGTAAGTGCGACTGCCGGGCAAGGGATCTCGGGTTCGATTCCCGGGTCGGGCAAAGTATTACTGGGTTTTTAAATATTCAGTTTTCAGTAGTAGTAGAGTCTGGAATTGTGCCCGGTATATGGCAATAGGCTCACCCCCTATTACATGGGACTCATAACATAAATAGTAAAAAGTGGGTGTTACATTGTACAGTGGTATAATGTGCACCTCTGCCTACCCCTTCGGGGATAAAAGGCGTGATGTTATGTTATGTTTTAGTGTTAAGTGCTTAACAGAGATCTATGTGTACAGTATAGCATTGTGGTTGTTTGTGTTTATAAAATCGTTAGTATTAGCACCTCTTCTTGATTTGAGTGTATTAAGAAATGTTCTTATCATATCTCAGCATAGTACAGCTACAGTATGTAACAGCGCTACAGTCTCTGCTTTGCGGGTTTCGGAATGCTGCTCATAACTAGAGCCTCTAGCATAGCTTGAAACTAGCCAAGTTCCTCAACAAACAATTACGTGAGTAAGTCAAAAACATAATAATTTATTTAGTATGTCTCACGGAGGATATCATATAAAGATACGGCAATAATAGACATGAAATATTCAACTGTATTAATTTATGCAAAGCCTCCTAAGCTAGTATAAAACCTAGGTAGCTACACACTATACAACCTACGTACATAATACATCTGTATGTACCTACACACGAGATAACTTAAACGTTCCGACCGTTTATACAAATGACGTGTCATTACCTTCGCATGGTCCCACAGAGTATCATAGCACGTGACGTCACACATCCAAAATGGCGTCCGTAATTTTATTTCATTTCAACGAAAATGTTTTCATTAAATCGTGAATCAAATAAATGGGTAAAGTAATAAAATCATTTAAGGAAATGGTGAATCACATTTATATTATGGGTGATGTAAGTTTCAGACTGTCTCGTTTAATAAGCGGTTGCAAGTTTAACTGTCAAATTAGGGGTCCCGGGTTCGATACACTGACTTGTGTTTCAGTTAAAAACTATTGAGTCTTCAAAATGATCTTTTTCTGTAAAGATATACATTTTTACGTGAATATACAACAGTATATTAACGTGAGTAACCCGTGATTTTACTTAATTTAATATGTCTCACGATAGTTATTATAAAAATTATACATTTTTTCCGTAAGTTTATTCGAAACAACCCTAATCTGATTAATGAACATCATAAATTAAACTTAACTATTCATCTAAAAACTAAAAATATTTTACTTTATCAAAAGAAAACCATCTTAACTGGGATAAATTTATAACTTTATTAAGAAAATAGTAGACCAACCTATTTGCGAAATATTTTGCCACAGCGGAGGACCAAAAATTGGGACGAGACAATTTTTTTTAGTTGTAAACTACTTCGTTTTTAGCAGATAACAAAAATGAAATATCTTGTACGAAATTTTTTCACTTTTTCAGAAACAAAAGGCTTCCTTTTTTGTTTTTTAGCCGCAAAATAATTTACAAATGAGGTCGGTTAAACATAATTTAAAAGGAAATTCGAAGAATGTGGTTCTGGCCAGACCATACTGAGTTTCGTGAAAACCTTTTTTATAATAAGTATTCATATAGACTTTATCAATGAGATAGGTACAGCGTAAAATATAATTTCAGAATTTTTATTATGTGTAATGTTTTCATTAATTGAAAATTTTTAAATGCCATGAAAAATATTTGTGAAATTGATTGGTATATGTTGTCTATCTGATCGCAAGTGCGACTGCCGGTCAAGGGGTCTCGGGTTCGATTCCCGGGTCGGGTAAAGTATTACTGGGTTTTTAAAAAACAAATCTCAGTAGTAGCACGGAGTCTGGAAATGTGCGGTATATGGCAACAGGCTCCCCCCTGTTACATGGGACTCATAACATAAATAGTGAAAAGTGGGTGTTACTTCTGTATGCACCTCTGCCTACCCCTTCGGGGATAAAAGGCGTGATGTTATGTTATGTTGTCTGTTTGTCATGAGTTCATTTTTCGCATGGAGGAATAGAATTATATTTGAGACCTATGGTGCGGTAAACCTATAAACATGATAAGTGTGCTGATGGCCTTTATAAAGCACTAAGGTATGACATTCTACTGCTGTATAGTAATCAAATAATAGCTAATTTATGCACATACCTACGTGATATCATCAATTCACTTAATAGAAGAACTCGTATCGTAACAATTTTAGTCTTGTGCTAAGGAGAGGAATTCTTTGCCAGAGCCTGTATTTCCTGAAGGGTATCTTCAAGACCTGGATGTCTTCAAGGTCCGAGTGAATAGGTTGCTTATGGGAAGACGTGCTTCATCGTAGACCGCATCATGGATTATCACTTGGTGAGATAGTGGTCAACCGTTGGCCATTCAAATATAAAAAATAATGTAAAAAACTTATTACTAGATACTGATAATAAACATCATGTACTAGCAAAGGTTAAGTAGACAAAAAATAACTATTAACTGTTCTTTCTATTTATCTCTCGTGGTTAAAAAAATCAGAGTAGATTTCGTAACATTTTTTTTTTAATTTTGGTTCCGATAATTTGAAAACTACGTGTCCAGTGGAAGGGGTTGAGATAAACGACACAGAAAAAATATATACAATAGAAATGCGGTATACTAATATTTGCAAAGAAAATAATCGTAAAATCTACCCTTAACTCGAATTAACATTTTTTACTTTCTTTCTTTTAACATTTCTGACTTAAGTGAATAATTTATTGCAATTACAATGTTTTAAATAAAATTGTGTGCGCAGAAAAAGCTTCGAAATGTTTTTGTGCTTTGAATTTTAGTTAAAGAGCTTTCCCTTTATATAAAAATCTTTAAAAATGAGGAAACAATTTATTTCGTCGTACTCTTAATTTTACATATATAACCTCACGCCTGTCTCTCATGGGGCAAGCAGAGGCAAGGAAGTAAGTACTGTCCATTGTTTAATAATACTACTGAACCGTCCCGTCTTTTCCCGTCTTGCAACTTTGATTTTTTAAAGTCTACAGAAAAATTATCTATTTGGTGCTGTTTAAAAACTACATATAGATATACAACATATAGATAATAGAGATTTGAATGTAGAAATTAATTAATAGGCATATCATTTATTTTAAACTGTCAAACACCATGCGGTCACCGGTGACCGCAACCTATTGTTCTATAGTTGTGTCTATAATGACAGTACTCGACGAATTAACCCGAACATTAGTAACGTGTTAATTATCATATGGATATAAACACACACATACACACATACACGACTTACGATACCCCCAAGACGAGTAGCACTGTTTATGTGTTGCCTTCTACTCTGCCCATTTTATACCCTTAAATATTAGAGGCGGCCTACTATATAACATTTTACATTTTCCATTAAATAATCGACTAGAGTTGTTAATCCATCAGCTGTCAAAACGTAGAGCGGCATAGTGCACTTTTATGAATTTTTAAACTCGACAACAATGCTACGAGTAACAAATAAGTTTTGACACTGATTATATAACAGAAGCCTGTTAATATTTGTTGAAGGTTGTATTCATAAATGTAATTATGATGAATATGAGGTCTTAGGCTCGATTTCAAGGTCAAACCATGTATTGCTGCCACGCAACGTGTCGTGGTTTCAATTCCCGCACGGAACAACTCTTTGTGTGATCCACAGATTATTGTTCCCAGTCTAGGTGTCACGTGTGTGATATTGTATGTTTGTAAAGGCACCTACGACACAGGATAAAATACTAGAGCGGGGCAACGTTCTTAAAAAAATACAGAATTTTTAATTAAAACTCAAGTTGGAAACATTATATTAATATATTTATTTAAGTTATAATAAACTAAAATAGTGAACTTTATTTCGTAATAGAGAACCTGTTGGCAAAACAGAACTTAAACTCACAACAATATTTAAACTTTCACACCTACTATATTGTGTCTTCGTGCATCACCCTAAGATGGACTGTTAGATAATGTCACTAGGCATTAAATCCACCATCCGGTATTGCACAAGTAGTGTACAATAAATAAAAAGTAATAAACAAAAAAAATGTTAAAATCTGGTTCATAAAATCGAAATTAATTTTAAGACAAGCGTTGCAACCAACACGGTAATCGATATAACATGGCAGTTTTCTCACCTATTCGTTAAAGTATGTATTGTTGACAATGAGACTATTGATTAAATAATCTAGAGTGTTGAACTGAAAGCCGGTGTTACTAGTGATAATAATACCAATTAACTTGGCCATACACAAGGACTTTATATTGTGAATGTTTTTAGAAATACGGAAACAGTTGAAGCCGGCTTTATTGGAGACTAAACAGAGTATTGGTGGCTTATTATGTTCTAATTTTGCAATAGTCATTTTGTTATTAGCTACCTACATTATAATATAGATTAAGCTACCAAAAATCTTTTTTTTTTTATTGCAAACAATTAATATGCCGAGAAATTTGGAATCTATGGTATCGTGATAAATTTGTGTATTAAACATACATACATAACATCACGCCTTTTATCCCCGAAGGGATAGGCAGAGGTGCGCATTAAACCACTGTATAATATAACACCCACTGTAACGTCCCATGTAATAGGGGTGTTGTGTATTAAACTCCTTAAAAAATATGATTTTATAGTCGTCTGCATTTTAGAGTCTCGACATTGACGCGCTTGATTAACAAGTGGCAATTAGGTACTTGCCAAATAGTCAAATTCAATACTCTTCTCGAAATGTCAAAAACGACAGCTTTCTATGAATTTTGTACGAGACTGCGTATTGTGATGTCACGTTTTTTAGAGTCAAACAGCATAACTTATCTCTTAAAAATTTGCTGTAAAAACACTAAAATTAAGATAGTTATAAAATATATAATCAATTAATGAAAGTGATTATTTTTTCATATAAATTGTTTTATTAAACAGTCAAAATAATTTATTTTTGATCAAAGCAACATTTAAAGATTTTTTTTTACATTCAGATATTTAACAATTTTATTATTCTTTTGTATAATGGTGTGTAATGTATAATATATAAGGTGAACTTAATTTAAAATAATTTTGAAATGGTGGTTGTTTCGTTTCATTCAGTTTTCCGATCAGATACAACCTTAGCAACGAAGTATTAAATTCAAGTATTACAATAACATTAAATTCAAGTATTTTGCTAATGTGATGACATTTCAAGCGATATTTTTAATTCATAGTTAAATAATTTAATGAATGCTAATGATATCGAAAAAAAATACTAAGAAAAAGCTAAAATTCTTCGTATTCTAATATTTTTTTTTTTCAGAATGTTTTTTAAACGTGTAAATGTGAACAAATACCTGGTTGGAAATATTACACTAATATAAATTTAAAACATTAAATAATATATTCATATAAGTAATTTCAAATTGAATACATATATCATATTTCAGTGATTCAACGATTTATTATACTGAAAGTTTCGAGTCAAAACAATTTAATTGTATAATTAACTTTATTGATTTCACTTCTTGAATATAACTTCTAACATCACACCTGCCACCTATTTGACCCTCAAACAATTCAAGTTGTTAACTTAGAAATTTCAGCTTCCATAAAACTAATTTTGAAAGTGATAGTAGCTCTTAAAAAGTTCTGGATTTTTACCTTTGACAATGCGATGTATCTTCAACAGTAGCCAGATCACTTGTTATCATGTTATAACCAAAGTTACTAATCACATTTTATTTGTTTACTTTCGTATTAAATTTTCGTTCGAAGTTCGCGACGCGCGTGCTCTCTAGGACGCCGACGCGAGGAGACTGACGGCTACGCCGTAGGCTCGTAGACACCGCTACGAGAGTGCGCCGCTACGCTCGTAGAACATAAAGTTTTCTTTTTTACTTTTCTTACGACGTTTAGTTCTGCACGTCACCTTACTTCGCAATTTTAGTTTTATAACTTTATACAGTTTTTCTCCGAAAACACTCTTTGATAGTTCTTTGTCCTACCCAAAGACATTGTCTGAAAAAAATGCCCGTCATTATAATAAGGGTTCTCTTTTCTAAGAACTCAAACAAAGTATGGATAAGCAATATAAATATCAGATTTATGTTATTGAAAATCCTGTGTGTTGTATAAAAAAGGTAAATAAAACGGAAAAGTTTTTACATTAAAAATAAGATATGAATAATAAAATTAGAGGAATGAGGTCGTTTGTTACCAGAATCGTAAAAATTGCAGACGGGGTATCTTCCCCGGAGTTGTGAGGGTTAAATGGGGAAATAGGGTCGCCGTGGGTGTTTCGAGGGTTAGCGAATGAATTGATATAAATTAATTATCCAGATAAGGTATTTATGAGTCATGTTTATGTAAAGCTTTGATTCTATTTTATGTGTATTTGTTACTCCATTTTGAATTTGGCTTTACGGTCCCAGCAATAATTTATTGATTGTGATTAATTGTAATTTATTATACTTTGTTCATCAAGGTTAACTTACGACTACCGAACAAGTCCTTGGTTTTATCCCTTGGTTGGGCAAAAGAGTAGAGTTTTGATTATCTTTTGCATTCACTTGCCTAAACCTAGCTAGGAATATGCCTTGTATTTGTGAAAGGTCACAGGTCACAAACCAGTTAATAATATACTTAACTGGTGAAAGCAGAGGTATTTCAAGGTCTTTGTATCCAACCTTAGTAGTAATACATTGTATCTCAAAATTACTCCTTGGACTTCGTTTTATATTTGATGGGACGACGTTTGACCGCTATCTCGCCTGGTGCTAAGTGATGATGCGATTTATGACGGAGCACGTCATCCTATAAGCAACCTATTCACTCAGGCATTGAAGACAGAAGATTTATATCCTTCAGGAAACACAGACTCTGACTAAGAATTTACATATAGACAAGATGTTATAGTAGTTTTTACAATCGATTTCATTTCTATAGACGTTATAGTTCATAGAGGTATCCGTATATAATGACGTAACATTTTTTTTCACTGCCTATTATCAACTCTATTTAACATTTATCTATTGTCTTTTACCAATCGGGCACAGTTCCAGATCATATGCAACAAGAATTTCCGTAAAATTCTAATTATTGCTTTACAAAAGAAGAATATTCTCAAAAATATTATAATAGTTTTTAACAGATATAAAACTAAATTAGTATGCGAAAAGAGGTCTTGAACTTATATTTTTTTTCGATTAAACACAAAGATTGCTATTATGATTGCTTTTTGAATACTCTAGCATTTAAAAACTGTATTAGTTTCGTGATTAGAATTTGTATCGATAAAATATCGAATGGATTACTTGTATAATATATTTGTAGTTAATATGTAATGTAGTTTAAAGTACCTACTTAATCTCTCGATACAGGTAATTGTATACATCAAGTAGCCTTATCCACGGTAACATATCAACTGAGCTTTAAAATGTTGTATGTTTTGCTTTAGTCAAGCTAGCTTACTAAGTACTAAAGTCATGAACCTAGATTTTGATCTGTACTCTTCAGAAATACAGAAGGTATAAAATATAATTAATATAATGAGTAGCTTTTGCATGGACATTGACACCTATAAAGCAGGTAAAGAGTACATTTTCCTTTACAGATTAAAACAGCCATGTTTTACGTGACTATACGGGTTTATCTTCCACCAAATTGGCACACCCGTACTCTTCCATCTAAATTACTGCGTCACAGACAACTGAGCCTCGTACGTTTTTCTCCGATTCCGCTGCTCAACAAACCGGGAGCAAGAATTAAACGAAATAAATTGCTCTGAACGTATTTCGGTTATTTATACGTGGCGAATCACATTTTAATTTATCGTTCCAATACACATTTACAATCAACCACACATATTCTAATAATCTCGAGACAATTAAGGCAAAGCCACTTTAATGCTATGAAGTACACAGTTCATATTCGCTTACACATTTTGCCGATGAGTGTCGTGTTGTACAGACGCCAGGGGGCCTAAAAAGGTAACATTGGGTGAATCATTTCTAATATGACAGATTTGATGAATTGTTAGAGAATCACCTAAATCACCATAAAATGGTAACAATAAAATATGAAACACCTTCAATTCATTTCATAACTGAATCATATTAGATGCCGATGTTGCTACATAAGAAATATATAGAGAAAAACCGAACCGTAACTTTACCGGTTTTGTTTATCTTGTGTTTTATTATAACTTAAATTAAAAATTTCGATCCTGAATGTTTTTTAATTATAATATTTTCTCATATCTATCAAGAAACTAGAAAATCCATTAAAATACAGTGTGAAAACTACATACAGTATTTGATTTTGTTTTTCTTATTTCCTTTTTGCTGGCAATGACTCGTGCTCATACGTCACGTCAGTCAGTCACTGTCAGAATAACAGTAAATTTAAACTTCATTTAAACAAACAAATTTGTAAAAAAATATTAAACTCTTTAACTTAGACATTATTTCATTGGGAAGTAAGTAACAGTAAATAGAGTTCGAGATGTGAATGGAATTCGAGAAGTAAATTGATACAGAAAAGGGCTCCTCCCTTACCAAGGCGAAGATTGAACGCTATGGATTTTATCTATTAAGAAATAATACACGTTAAAAGGTAAATATAATTATTTGTTACTAGCTTATTTGTGTACTTAATACTAGTCATTAATACCGAGCCAGACACTCAACAACGGCACTACGCCCAAAAACATTGTCGGCCTCGGAATACTGTGGAAAGGTGTATCGAAGTACTCAAATCTTGCTGGCGATGCTGAAGTATTGGTTCATCGCAAGATACACTATAGCAGGACAAGTGCATTTGCATGTATTTGTGTTAACTGAAACAATGACATGTTGTTTTATTGTAGCTTACCATAAACCAGGCAATGATAGTAGCTTTAATATGATAAGTAAGGTAAAATATGCAACTTAGAAAAATTTAATTTCATTCATCATGTTTCATTTTCAGATACCTGTTTTTTTGGACAAGCCTGCCACAACCTTCCCAAACTGCTGCGACTCCTGTAAGCCAGGATCTACAGTAGATGACACCAGAACACTGAAGTCCGGCGCGTGTCAGGGACATAATTAACTGTCTTGGATCCCGCTACGAAATCAGATTGATTTATCAGAAGATATTATAAGAGGAGAAGAAAAAAACAATAGTTTGCACTTTCCTCGGTTACTTTTAGTTAGTGGTTATGAAATAAATGTTTTAAAATTAGTGACTTTATTTTATTGCTGTGAATGATATCTCTATCAGTTGAAATATCTCTCCTCTCTCTCTCTTCATGTTCCAAAAGGTTGTACTATGGCTATAGACCTAAAAAACTAAGGCAAATAAAAACAACAAAATTTTTAAATCGTCAGATACGTGCTGACTAAAGTTTATTTATTTATAAGTCCGTTTCGTACTAGAGAATTAGTATTAGTTCTTGCACTCTGTATAGGCGTATCCTGAAACACAATTTTAATCATTAATATTTACTATATGTACAGGATCACAATTTAGAGTTTTATTTTATAATTTTAGTGTAAAACTTGTTGAAAAGACATACTGACAATGAAATAACCCAAGGTATATGAAGATACAACTTCAATCATGCCTATTAGTAATATACGATCCAGAAGCGTTAAGTATTAGTGCACTTAATACCTTAAACATAAATAAATACATGAGATGTACATGTCTATTCTTTCTTGAAAAAATCTTAAGGGATAATTGCAACTTAGTTGTATAACTAATTAATAGTTTGGTGGCTACTTATCTTGCACACAGTACTTATTCCACCACGTCGAGAGGCTATAATACACTTCCAACTCTTGGGATTATTTTGTGACACACACTATTATTTACGCGAAATAATCCAACATATTCAGGCTCCGGTATTTCAAAAAAAACTTGCATTTCCTGGAGAGTCTCACTTCGCCGACGATATGAAAACCTTTCTAAAACACGTGCATGCTCCAAAAAGTTTTCAGAAAGGCCTAAATCTCCTATATTTCATTAATTTATTAATAATATAAACTAGATGAACTGTGAAATGTTGCCTTTGAGTAACATCTGACAAATCTGATTATTTGACGTATAGGAATTCACTCTTTGCAAACCATTTTACGAATTTCCATTGAAAAGTGTCATATTAGATGAATTGCAAATATGAAACACTTTCAGTTCATATTATGAATCATCAAAATGTTGTCTTTTTATGACATGACATTTGTCACATATTATGATTCAGATATGAAACGTACAATGTTACCTTTTTAGCCCCCCAGTAGAACAAGTTATCCCAATGTAGAAAAACTCTTTCATAGATTTTCTACTTTACCACTTTGAAATAAAGTCGAAAATCTGTTGCAAATGTTTGACTGAATAGGGTATCTCTACAAGCTGTTGTCTCCACGTTGGTTCTAGAGTAAATTACAATTACTTGGGACACGCATCTCAATGTACACGTTCCAGTATTCGTTTAAATTGCCTAAGACTTCTGTACGCAAGCAATTTGCGTATGATAATAAGTAGGCCGCAATATGTCAAGGTATTTTGGCCCTAATTGACAGTACCTCTATACACAGATGCGTATATTGGATTTATGTTTTATTTTAAATTAAGATTTAAATTGGAGCCTTATTTTTGGAGAATGACATCTTTATTTCTGTAGCTTTGTTTTCTTATCTTGGGCGTAGCTTTATTTTTTTATTTGTTTCCTTTTGCGGAGAACAAGGTCACTGGATGCAGGTAGCTTTGAACCGATTGACCTGGAAGTCATTGGGGGAAGTA